TTTCTCCATGAAATATTTTTTACTGGGCCACGGTCATTCCACTTTAAAATGTTTGTTGAATGAATAAATAATTCGAAACTTCAATCTGCTTTATGTGGGGCCGAAAGGGAAGGGGATGAGCATCTTTCTGGGAAAAACGGGGCTGGAGGGGGTTCTTTTAATATTTTTTCTCTAAGAAGTCTGTCCGCAGCCTCACCTAAACCCTTCGTGCTGCAGCCGCACCCCGCCCCTCTCCGCGGTCCGGTCACCCACGAATTCCGGCGCCTCCAAGGCCACGCCCCTTCCCTTCCGCTTCCGGTTTCTCGCCAGTCATTTGGCCCCTCATCCCGGTTCCGGCCCGGCATCTCGGTTCCGGCCCCGCGGGGTCTCGGTTCCGAGTTTGTTGTCCCGGTTCCCGGCCCCGGCTGGTCTCTCGGGCCGGCCCGGCCGCACGCGGCACCCGTCGGCGGTCGGGGCTCCCGGGAACCACCCCAGCGACCCTCCCACCCTCCGCGGGTCCTGGCCCACCTCGCCCCTTGGGCCCGCGCGGTCCTCGCCGCCCATGGAGTCCCAGTGCGACTACTCGATGTACTTCCCCGCCGTGCCGCTGCCGCCGCGCGCCGAGCTGGCGGGGGACCCGGGCCGGTACCGGGCGCTGCCCCGGCGCAACCACCTCTACCTGGGGGAGACTGTCCGCTTCCTGCTGGTGCTGCGCTGCCGGAGCGGCACGGGGTCCGGCGCCGGGGGCGGCCCGGGCTTGGGCTCCCGAGGGGCGTGGGCAGAACTGGCGACCACCCTAGCCGCCCTGGCCTCGGTCAGCGCCGGAGGCGGGGCGCCCGGGGGCAGTGGCTCTGGCGACCAGGATCCCGAACCCCCGGGGGGCGGGGATCCTGGCGGTGGTGGGTTGTTTCGCGGCTGCAGCCCCCTCCTCACCCACGGCCCAGGCCCTGCTACCTCAGGGGGAGCGACCACGGTGAGGAGCTTGGGGGTGGCACGGCACAGGACGGAGGGGCGGTTTGCCGGGCTCCAAAGACCAGAGGGGTGAGGGATGTTGGAGGGAAGCCGGAGGCGGATGACGGATGAGGAGAGGGGAGGGCAGGCACCACAGACGGCAGATCTTAAAGGGAACGCCGGTGCTGCGGGCTGCCTCTGACCCTCCTGACCTCTTCACCCTTTTCACAACCCAGCTGCCTGTGGAGGAACCAATTGTGTCCACAGATGAGGTCATCTTCCCACTCACCGTCTCACTGGATAGACTGCCCCCAGGGACACCTAAGGCCAAGGTAAGATTAGCAAGGGGTGCAGCTGTTGTCCTAATTCTGGCGTCCTTTCTCAGACTGGCCGTGTGTCTCCTCTTAACTGTGGTCCCGTGCCCCCTGTGCTCAGATTGTAGTGACCGTGTGGAAGCGGGAGGTTGAGGCACCGGAGGTCAGAGATCAAGGCTACCTGCGCTTGCTGCAGACCCGATCTCCTGGGGAGACCTTCCGGGGAGAGCAGAGTGCTTTCAAGGCCCAAGGTGGGGAGGAGGATGCAGAGGGGAAATGCTAGAGTCTGGAATTTGGGGAACAGTGGAGGGGTGATACTGGCAAGTGCAGGACCTGAGGAGAAGAGGAAGATTAGAAACTGTGGGTTGGAGGTGAGGTGCGCCCAGCCCGTGGTCTCTTGCCTCTGCCCTCTCCTGCAGTGAGCACGCTGCTGACTCTGCTGCCCCCTCCAGTTCTGAAATGCAGACAGTTCACTGTGGCTGGAAAACACTTGACCGTGCTCAAGGGTGAGCAGATCAGCGGCTCAGGTCTTGGGTAGCATCAAGGGCACTGACTGGGTGGTGGTTACTCTGGACAGGAGGTTGGTGATAGACCCATCTTGCGGGGTGGGGATAAAGGTGGGATTTGAGAGATCTAGATACTCTGAGCTGAGCTGGTTACCTCCGACAGTGCTGAACAGCTCCTCCCAGGAGGAAATTTCCATCTGGGATATCCGAATTCTCCCAAACTTCAATGCCAGTTATCTACCTGTCATGCCCGATGGCTCTGTGCTGCTGGTGGACAATGTCTGGTGAGGTCCTGGGGAGGGGCAGGGCCGCAAAGTGGAGGGGGTGGGGTCACAGCCGAGAACTCTGGCATGGAAAGATCCAACCCTGGCCCTCTCTCTTTGGAACTAGTCACCAATCTGGGGAAGTCTCCATGGGCTCCTTCTGCCGGCTCCCTGGTACCTCTGGCTGCTTCCCCTGCCCGCTTAGTGCCCTAGAGGAGCACAACTTCCTGTTTCAGCTGAGAGGGGGTGAGCAGCCCCCTCCAGGGGCCAAGGAGGTAAGTATGAGGGACTGGCATTTTCAAGGAGAAAGGCTGGGAAAAGCAGTGTGAGGGAAAGGTCACGGGTTGGCCAAGGGGAGAGAGTACGTCTGATACATGTGATGTTTCCTACTGTCCCTTCTTCAGGGTCTAGAAGTTCCCCTGATTGCTGTGGTTCAGTGGTCCACCCCAAAGCTGCCCTTCACCCAGAGTATCTATACACACTACCGGTGAGTTTCTGGGAACCCCCACCTTTCCCTGCGGGCACTGTCCTATTCATCTTGTTTCCAAACACACACATCCTGCTTCCCTCTCTCATGGATTCTAGCCTGCCCAGCATCCGCCTAGACCGCCCATGCTTTGTGATGACTGCATCTTGTGAGTCTCCTGTTCGGACCTATGAGCGTTTCACTGTCACCTACACACTGCTCAACAATCTCCAAGACTTCCTTGCTGTGAGGCTCGTGTGGACCCCAGAGCATGCCCAGGCTGGTAGGTGGCTGCCAGGCTAGGACTTTGTCCCAAAGGAGGGGAGGGGAAAGGAAGTCACAGAGCTGGGTGGCTTGAGCAGGCTGTGTCGGCTCTCCCTGGGTAGTCTCCACAGTGTCAGAGGGTTTAGAGAGGCCACAGGGCAGAGTGATTTTAAGGGACACTGAAGCTAGGCTCCCTGGTATGTTTGACTTCTACTTTTTCCATTTACTAGCTGTGTGACCTTTGGTAGGTTACTTAACCTCTGTAAGCCTCAGATTTCTCATCTCTAAAATGGAGGTAATAACTCAAGGAGCTGTAATGGTGACTTAATGAGTTAATATATGTGAAGTAGTTAGAACAGATCTCAATACACAGTAAGTATTAGCTATTGTTATTTATTAAATTCAGCAAACAGTAGCACGTACTCAGTTTACTACAGATAGTGGCTCTGAAGATCAAGCAAGACTGCTCTTGAAAGTCCTTTGCAAACTGTGGAACACGGTACAAGTGTGTTTCCCAGTCCCTGTTTCTGCCCCACAGGCAAGCAGCTGTGTGAGGAGGAGCGCCGGGCCATGCAGGCAGCCTTGGACTCCATCGTCTGCCACACACCCCTGAACAACCTCGGCTTTTCCCGGAAGGGCAGTGCGCTCACCTTCAGTGTGGCCTTCCAGGCTCTGAGGACAGGGCTCTTTGAGGTGGGCTGGGGAGGGGCTGGGCAGTGTGCTGGGTGGTGTGGGACGACGAGTGGGAGGAGTCAGGGCCCTGGCTTCTGCAGATGAAGTTAAGGGCTGGCACTCCAAAGCTGGGCAGCGGGAAGGTGAGATTTAGGTCTGACCTAAGTGGGGAAGATGACGCGAAAGGTCTGGGGCCTACAGGCCGAGCCGGATGACTGATCTGTGTCTCCCCACCCCAGCTGAGTCAGCACATGAAACTGAAGCTTCAGTTCACCGCCAGCGTGTCCCACCCTCCGCCCGAGGCCCGGCCCCTCTCTCGAAAGAGCAGCCCCAGCAGCCCTGCCGTCCGGGACTTGGTAGAGAGGCACCAGGCAAGCCTGGGCCGCTCTCAGTCCTTCTCCCATCAACAGCCCTCCCGCAGCCACCTCATGAGGTATGGGCCTGCAGGAGGGGTGCCGCTGGACTTGGGAGAGGCTGGAATCGGAGCAGGAGCGGGAAGGGGTCCTGGGGTCCGACTAGAGCCCACAGCTTCTGCCTTCCCCCAGGTCAGGCAGTGTGACGGAGCGCAGAGCCATCACGCCCCCCGTGGCCTCCCCTGTCGGCCGCCCCCTCTACCTGCCCCCAGACAAGGCTGTGCTCTCTCTGGACAAGATTGCCAAGCGCGAGTGCAAGGTCCTGGTGGTGGAGCCCGTCAAGTAGCACCGTGCAGCTCTCCCCCTCTCACACTCCCAGAAATCCCAGAAGCTCTGGAGCAGGTGCTCCCTCTGGGCTGTGCCTCCCCTGGGATGCCTCCCACTGTGGGTGAGGAGGCCCCGCAGGGCCGCCTGTCTGTGTCTGCTGATGAAGGACGAGGGTAGAAGCTGTGAAACGGGCGGGGATGGCTGCAGCGTGAAGCCAACAGTATTTCCCGGACTTCCTGGGTGGGCTGGCCCCACCCCTCAGCCAGGGCAGGGGCTCCAGGAGCCCCTGGCCCCCCGCCTTGTACCCTGGTTCTAAGTTTACAAAGTGTTTTCCTTATTCCTATTAAGTTGTCTTCCTGCGTCTGACATTCCCTCTCTCCCTCCCACCCACAGGGCTGAGATCAGAGGGGTGGTGATGGTAAAGGGACCCGACAATGACATGACCCTCCTGTCTCAGGTCAGGGGAGACAGCTCCGTGGCCTCCCCTGCCCTCATGTTTACGTTTGCAGCCTGAAGCACTTTAAGTTGCGTGGGTTTCTTGGATTTTGGTTTTTTGGGTTTTGTTTTTGGGGGGTTTTTTTTGGTCTGTCTGTTCCTGTAACTTATTCTCCAACTACTGCTTCCAACTGAAATAAGACTATTAAATGCCTGTTCAGGAGGGAGAAGAATGACTTCTGTTTGTGTGTTGGTGGTAGGAGCAGAGAACCAGGGGCTCGGAATGGTTCCCTTCAGCATGTGCACCAGATAGCTCCCCTCAGCTCCCTTCCCACACACTTTTTTCCCCTTCTGATTCCCAGTTTTGGACGCCTAGGAGTGGCCTTGCCCCATCCCTCGGGGCTGAGGCCCTAAAAGGTGGAAGCCAAACGGGTTGTGGCCCTCCTCTCCCCATACACACAACACATCCCTGGGCTGGGAACATCAGTCTCAGGTTTATTAAGGAGGGTGGGAAGGGGGAGGTCTCCTGGCTCTCACTCTCCTTAACATCGTACAAAGTCCTCAAGCCTCTGCTCTTCCAGGCAGGGGGGCAGGGAGGTGGGTGAGCAGACAGCCTTAGTTCCAGCGGCAAGCCAAGAGGGAGGTGGGGCAGGTGTGCGTCTTCCTCGTCACAGAGGCTCACGGCCCCATCCGCCTCTGCCCCGCGCCCTCTGGCAGGCTCAGACGTCAATGGACTCCCGGCCTCGGTTCTGCCTCTTCACCACAAACACCCTCTGTCCCGACACGGTCACCAGCAATGTGTGTTCTCCAAAGACCACTGGAGGGGAGACACCTTCCCTCGCCCCAGGAGAGGGAAGGGAGCAGAGAGTTAGTGGGGTGCCAAGGCCTCCCTGGGGGTCACAACTGATAGTTCAAGGCTCACAGATCTGAAAGTGGGAGGTCTCCATTAAATCCCCTTGCCTTCTCACAATTCTGATGCAGGTGTAAATTCCAAGGGGAAGAGAGTGGCCAGAACCAGGGATCCCAGGGGGAGATGGTGGGTGGTCAGTAGGAGACAGGTGTTTTTTCTCCTGAGAAGAGAGAGCACCTTCCTCCCACATCACTACCACCAGGGGAGGGGCTGGGGCTCACCCGAGAGGCGCTTGAAGGGGACATTCATGCCGTGGTGCAGCCGGAAGCCGCAGGCCGTGCTGACCAGCTCAGAGATGGCGCTGGCTGCCTGCTCGTCATTCTCTAGGTCCCCAGATGACTGCAGGAGGATGGAGGACGGCAGGAATCAGGGAACCGAATTGGGAAAGAATTCCAGCAACAGTCACTTTGGCTCTAGCATTTGTAACCTCTCCCTCTCCATCTTCCAATACCCCAAGGTCACCGCCAGTTTTGAAAAAACCAACCAAAAACTTTCCTGTGACTATGTAGTCCCTCCTGCTGCCATCTGGTTTCCCATCCTTAAAATACTGGTCTTCTCCCAGGAGCATTCCCTCTCGTCCATTTCTTTACTGACCCTGCTTTCCTAATCCCTGACACTTGATTTCTGTTTCCACTTATTTGATAAAACCACATTCTCACACATCACTGCCCACCCACTAAGGGACTTGTTCTAGGCTCCATCTTACCCTCAGTTTTCCCGCTTGCTGCCCTGTCTACAGAATATGAAACATAAACATCCCCTTTGTCCTTGAACCCCTTCCTACTACCTAGCCCTTGGGTAATGCTGTCACAGTGGCCCGGGCTTCCTCTTTTCTGGTCACTGTCTCACCTTCTCCCTACCTCCTCAATATGGGCCTCCCATTAGGTTAAATTCAGTGCCCATTGCTCTCTTGGACATTCTGTAACTCAGTTTCCTCATCTGTAAATTGCGGACAACAGTACCTGTCTTACGGGCTCGTGGAGGTTATGTGAGATACTGGCAAGATGTTCACAATAGCTCCCAGCAATGTATATTAACTGCTACTATTTTCTATCAAACTCAATGTTTAAAGTTGACCCATCAAAATTCCCCTTTCATCTCCCCCTTCCCAGTCAACTTCCTTAAGTTCCTGTTTTTTAAGGCACCATCATTCTAAACTTGAGTTTAAAGTTTTTCATGATGGAATAGTATCTCCTCTGTTGCCTATCTCTGGTCATTACCAAGGGATACTGATAATTCTTTAAAATCTCTTCTCTCCACACTCCTCATCACCACCAGCTCAGTTTTATACCCAGATTTTGGCAAGCGCATCCCTGCTTCTGAACCCCACCCTCTCAGACCCATCTTTACGTCTAATAGAAGAATCTCCCTCAGCCACTTCATCATCTCATGTTTCTGTCCAAAAATCCTTCAGAGCTCCTGTTACCCACAAGATTAATCCAAATGTATTAACCCTGTCTTGAAAGTCCTCCACAATCAGATCTTTCCTTACCTCATCCTCTTCTTCCCCCTTTCCAGATCTTTTCAACATAAATCCACCACCAATTGAGACAGTCTTGTGTCACACTCCTGCAAATACATCCACCTTCCAGCCATGAATACTCTCCCTCTTTTCTCCCTGTTCACAACCATCCATCTTTTCAGCCCAACTGAATTGTTGCCTCCTCCAAGAAAGTTTCCTTGCCAAAACACAAGTTATAACACGAAAGGCTGAATCCTTCACTTTCTGAATTCCTTCAATAGTCTTTACCATGTGCATTGCTTTCAACTTTTAACCTTAAGCCTTGTCTCTCTAGCTCGATAGAAAACTTCCAGAGAGCTAACACTATGCTGTACTACAGAACAAAATACCAGGCCTCTTTAATGAATACCAAATAAATACATACTCAAGAATAACTCAGGTAACATCAGTTATCAACAAAAATGTAACTCATCTGACTCTGGTTAGTAAACTTCTACCTAAGATTCCAGAGACTTATTTAATTCCTGAAAGCTTACTATATGCCAGGCATGATACCAGGTAAAGACCAAGAACAGAGTCAAATCAGCCTACACTGGGCAACGTGTACTTGGGGGACCACCACCCCTTCCTTCCCTTTTCCAGAACGCACCGCCAGCACTGCGCCTTCACTCAGCACCAGGTAGCCGAGTTGGTCTGGGATTCGCTCCAGCCCCTGGGTCAGTGCAGAAGTCTAGTGGGTAAAGATGCAATCAGTGAGAACCAGACTAGGAGGATGGCCCTCGGCAAACTCAAGTCTCTCTTTTTGACAATGGCCCCTCAGGCCTCTTTCCCTGGCCAGGGCCCTCTTCCCTCTACATGGCCTTCAACACTTATCTTCCTGAGTATCCACCGGTCCTCATTCTCCTGGGCTCCCCCCGGCCTTCCACATCCCATCTGTGCTACCCCTCTGCCACCCCCGCTTAGCCCCCTCTCCAATTCCTCTTGTGGCCCGCCCCTCCCCTTCAGACTACTCCCCAGCCCCACTTACACCCTCCCACAGACCCCTCCTCGGCCCTCTACGTCGCCACCCGTCCCGTCTGCATTCCCTCTCGGTCCCGGAGCGGACAGGAAGTGAGGGCAGGGTGCACACTCAGGACCGGGCAACCAAAGAGACTGGGGGACAGGGACGCGGAACCCCTGGCGCGAACTCCCGCGCATGCGTCCTCACTCACCATCGCAGCCTTAGGTGCTGGGGGGCGCTCCCTGCCAGAGTAGCTTCCGGCTCCAGACCCGGGTCACGTGCTTTCACCAGGCCGGCTCCTCCTCCGGCCTTGCACAGCTCGCCCTTAGTCCCGCCCCCAGATGCAGATTGGAGAGTGGCTACGTCAACAGACTTAATCTGCCAGTGCGGAGCGCCGCTTTCCAGAGAGGCGCGCGGATTTGCTGCAGGCCTCCTTTAACACCCATCTCCCCGCCCCTCAGCCCTAGAGCGCCGAAAGGGGGCGTGTCGGCGGAGGGGCGGACGTGGGGAGGCGGGGACGGAGGGAGGACAGCGGGCTGTCGGTGTGCGCCTGCGCACACAGGGGAACCCGGAGTCCACCTGGGCTAGATGGCCCGCAACTGGAAGCGTGAGTGAATAGAGTAAAAAGACCTGAAATGCAGATGAAGAACTATTCAAACGCTACTCTGTGCCTACTCCAGGCAGCTCTCTAAGACGGGGATTTTTTCCCAAAGTGGTTTTTCTTCCCGAGATCCTGTAAGAAACAGTGTGATGGTGCACCGAGTCCCCCGCTAGCCAGGGCAGCTGTTAATACAGAATACTCTCTGCCTGGAAAAATTAGAAAATGACCTCAGGGCCTCTTTTTTTTCAGTATGTGAGTGTCATATAGAAATTTTTTGTTTCAATTTAGTTTTAGACCTGCTGCAACACTAATTTTAGTGAGGCAATGTTGGTGAGGTAAATTGAAGGATGATTCTAATGACAGAACAATAAATAGCCAATGAGGATATGGAGAAATTGGAGCCCTCATACATTGCCCACAGGGAGATTAAACTGGTGCAGCTGCTGGGGGAAACGGATTGGCAGTTCCTCTAAAAGTTAAATATAGAGCTACTATATTTATAAGTGAAAGTCAAATATGGAGAAGTCGAATATGACCTAGCAGTTCCCCTCCTAGACACATACCTAAGAGAATTGAAAACATATGTTCACACAGAAACTTGTAGGCAAATGTTTATAGCAGCATTATTCATAATAGCCCCCAGATGGAAACAACCCAAATATCCATAAACTGAAGACTGGATAAATAAAAATATCCATACAGTGGAATACTACCCAGTTGTAAAAAGGAGTGAAGTACTGATAAACGCTACAACACGGATAACCTTGAAAACATTACGCTAGGTGAAAGAAATCAGATACATAAAGCCACAGATTATCTGATTATGGTTATGTGAAATGTCTACACTGGGCAAATCCACAGAGACAGAAGCCAATTAGTGGGTACCGGGGCAAAGGGGAGAGGGAAATGGGGAGTGACTGCTAATGGTTATGGGATTTCTTTTTGGATGATGAAAACGTTCTGAAATTATACAGTGATGATGGCTAGACAACCCTGTGGATGTAATGAAAACCACTGAATTGTATGCTTTAAAATGGTGGATTTAGTATGTGAATTACAGCTCAATAAAATATAAGTAAGTGCTGTTGCTTGAGGAGAAAAACTAATGAGAGAAGAAGGATGCCTTTTTAAATATAAGGTATGTCATAAGGTATTGTCTAATCTATAAAATTTAGATTAGAAAACTTTGTGGAGATAATTTGCAGAGCCTTCCCGGGCCTTCGATATTGATGACAGTTTGTGGGTTTTTTTTTTTTTTTGCACATATTGGTTCAAAGCAGTTTCATCCATACACTTACCTAAGCCACACATTAACCACCCCGTAACAGTATCCCCAGATGCTACACTGATGAGGAAGTGGAAACTCACGGGATTGAGGGACTGAGCCTCACTCACAGCACACAGCTGGCAAGTGGTCGAGCCAGATTCCAGTCTAAGACGGCTGAGGCCGATGCTTTTTCCATTGCTCCGTTAGCCAACTCCTTTTTTTTTTAAAGCTACATTTAATTTTACCTCCAAAATTCCCTGTTCTCATTTTTCTTGACATAGAGGAACCCTTTGCAGGACAATGCTCATCAGCCTTCATTAGAATTGTTTCATTCTCACTGACAGCTCGAATCATACTACTCAGAAAAGAAGCAAAGCTTCTCGTTCTTTCATTCAACCCATATGTATTGAGCACCTTCTATGGACCAGACACTCTTTTTGGAATTGGAAGTACAACAGTGAATAAAAGTAAGACATTTTAAAAAATTATTGTTTTCAAGGAGATGTGAGGGAGTGTATGAGCCAGATAACACATAAATAAGAAAATTAGTATATTAAGTGATGAGCAGTGCTGTGGGGAAAAGAAAAAAAAAGCAGAGCTCCATTCGCAAGACCTAGAGAATTCTGCAAAAACAGACTTTATAAATTAATTCCTGTCTTCCCTTAGTCTCCCCACAGCTTACTTTTCCACAATTGCCTCTCTTTGTTCAACCTGGTATAAAACCACATGGGTTTTGCCATTTCTTTGGATCTTCATTCCCTTGTGGGGGCTCCCACGTCGTGTAAAACGTGTATTAAATAAATATATATGCTTTTCTCCTTTTACTCTGCCCTTATGTCAAGTTAATTCTCAGACCCAGATGAAAGCCCTAAAAAGGCAGAGGTTAAAAAAATCCCCCCCACTACTACACTGTGCAGGTACTTCTAAGGTAGGATGAATATCAAATTTTGAAAAGCAGATTAGTCCCCATAATGTCAATGGGCTTCATCAATTGGTTGAAGGTCTTAAAAGACTGAGGTTTCCAGAGGTCTTCTCAAGACTGTCATAACATGGAAACCCTGCCTGAGTTCCAGCCTGCTGCCCTGAGGATTTCAGACTAGAGACTGCAGCATCAGCTCTTCCCTGAATGTCCAGCCTGCTGGTCTACCCTACATATTTGGGATTTGCCAGCCCCCACAATTTTGTGAGCTAATTCCTTAAAATAAATATTCTCTCTCTCCTTTTCTCTCCCCCTTATTCTCTGGAGAACCCTGACTAATAAGCGGTTAACTTATGGCTGGTTTCCGTGGCTTTGGCATCTTTGATGCCTCCCTTAGCATTCTTTTTCTTTTTAATCCTGATTCGCGGTGGTGGTTTGCTTTGAAACAAGACCTTCTTACCTCTCACACCCAACCTCCTTTTCTCTCATTTGCCTAGTGCCAATTATTACCCTATCAAGCAGCCGTCAACAGACTTCCCAACCCCAACTCTGCCTTTCTTGGTTCCCTTAGCCCTGACACACTCGTTCAGCCAGCACTTTTCAAAAGACTACAGGGTAAGAGTTACGTGCTTTGGGAATAAAATGCTGAAAACACACAGCCCTGACTCCTATGCTGCTCATCTTGTAAGTGAGCAAGGCAGGCAAGCAAAGAATCGCAGGGAAGTGTAGTAAGTGCGACATTAGAGGCATGAGCCCCTTAGGTCCAGTGGGACAAGGTAGTGTTGAAACGCGTCAAGTTGGGGATAAATGAAGGCACGTGTGGCTTCCGGTCAGGAGGCTTTGCTAGGCTGAGAGTGGGAGTGCTGGGATCGTTTGGAAACCTCTTGGACTGGAAGGAGGAGGCCAGCTCTGCTACTGGGATGGATGCAGACACATTCTTTCACATCTCAGGATTTGTTCCCTCCTTTTCCAAAGAAGGAAGGGCAAAGAGCAGCGCTAGAGACCAGGAGAATTAAAAAAAAAAAAGTCTCTGAAAACCAGGAGGAAGTCCTGGGAGCAGCTGGAATAATATTAAAAAAATTACTCAATTTGTAGGTTGGTGACTTGCTAGGTGCTGAGATAGACGCTGGAATTTCAAAAGGTCCTTATCTTCAAGGACCTCAGAGTCTAAAACAAGCTCAGTGAGCACTCACCAGAATGTTCTTCCCCTGGGTGGCTAGCTACCCACCCATCGAAGTCCCTCAAGGTCTCAGTTCAGTTGTCACCTCATCAGAGAGGCTGATCCTGCCCACTTGGTATAAAATAGCACACCCACCAACACCCTGACCTTCTGTATCCTCTCACCCAACTTTGTTTTTAAACTTTACTCAAGCATAATATACATACAGGAAAAGTTCACATATCACAAGTGTACAGCTCAGTAAATTTTCACAAACTGGGTGCACACACCCCAGTATCAGCAGCCCCAGAAGCACCATTCTTGTCCAGTCTCTTCCCTAATGGATAACCTGTGGGTAACTGCCACTCTGATTTCTAACAGCATCAATTAGTTTTGCTTATTTCTGTACTTAACATAAATGGAATCACACAGAATGTACTCTTTTGTTTTTGACTTCTTTCACTCAACATCAAGTTTGTGTGATTCATTCACGTTGCCATGTGTAGTGTCAGTTCATTCATTCTCATTGCTCTATAATGTTCCATTGTGTGAAACTGACACAATTTATTTATCCATCTAACCATTGATGAGCATTTGAGTAGTTTCAATGAAATCAATGAAGTTAGGACACCCCCTCACACCATACACAAAAGTAAACTCAAAATGGCTTAAAGACTTAACTATAAGACATGACACCATAAAACCTAGAAAAGAACATAGACAAAACATTCTCTGACATAAATCGTAGCAATGTTTTCTTAGGTCAGTCTTCCAAGGCAAAGGAAATAAAAGCAAAAAAAAAAAAAAGACTTAATCAAACTCATAAGCTTTTGCACAGCAAAGGAAATCGTAAACAAAATGAAAAGACAACCTTCAGAATGGGAAGAAATATTTGCAAATAATGCGACCAACAAAGGCTTAATTTCTAAAATATACAAACAGCCCATACAGCTCAATAACAAAAAAACAAACAGCCCAGTCAAAAGATGGCAGAAGACCTAAATATTTTTTCCAAAGAAGACATGCGGATGGCCAACAGGCACGTGAAAAGATATTCAACATAGCTAATTATTAGAGATATGCAAACCAAAACTACAATGAGGTATCATTCACAACAGTAAGAATGGCAATCATCAAAAAGTCTACAAATAATAAATGCTGGAGAGGGTGTGGAGAAAAGGGAACCCTCCTACCCTGTTGGTGGGAATGTAAATTGGTGTAGCCACTATGGAGGGCAGTATGGAGGTTCCTTAAAAAA